TTCAGATGCAAGTCTTGCATCTGAAGAAGTGAGGTTCTTACTCACGAAAGCTTATGCTCCCAGTACTTCTGTTAGTCTCAAAGGTGACACAGGACCCTCTGTTGCTAGTAATATACAAAGCACTTCTCCCATGGAGCAACAGTGATACCAGTTGTCCACCCAGGGTAATGCACAGAGCATTTCTATGGAGCAACAATGATACCAGTTGGCCACTTGGGGGAATGCACAGAGCATTTCCCTCGTGAAGCAACAGTGACACTGGGTGGCCACTCGGGGTAATGCACAGAGCATTTCCCTCATGGAGCAACAGTGACACTGGGTGGCCACTCGGGGGAATGTGCCCCTTCTCCCCCCACCTTCCCTTGCTCCCCCCAGTTTAGCCCATCTGCCCTGTGCACCCATGCCCACTCCCGAGGTGCTTTTGCCCCTGCCCGCTTTTCTGTTGCCCTTGTTCACTGCACCCCTTCATGATACTATAATCCCCCCCTTTCCCAGTCCAGCCGGAGGAGCCAGTATCCCTGCCCCGCACCAGTACTTGAGCCCCCCCTTCCCTTCCTCGATCAGCTCCCCCGTGCCCCCACCCCATTGGCACCCTCCTCCCCTGCCTGCAGCCTAGGTAGGCTTCTATCTTCTGTTTCCCTTCTTCCCCTTCCACCGGTGAAGCACCTGCCCCTTGCTAACATGGTAGGGAAACTGGGTGAAGCCCCTCCCATTGACTCTATGGTACCCCCCTCCACCACCTCCCTCATGTCTCCCAGAGGCTAACCTCTCGGCCATCTTTGCCACCTTGAACACCCGGGGCTGTAGGGTCGGTCTCCACAGGAGTCAGGTGCTCTCCTTCCTTTGGGAGAGGGGGTACTCAGTGATTTTCCTGCAGGAGACCCACACGGCTCCAGCTTCCGAGGCTAGCTGGCAGATGTGGTGTGGGGGAACAGGGTGTACTTTAGCCACCTCAGTGCCCATTTGGCTGGGGCAGCTACCCTGTTCTCCCCTGACCTACGGCCAGAGGTGCTGGGGGTCGCCAAAGTCGTGCCGGGTCACCTGCTGCACGTCTGGGCCTGTGTGGAGGGGCTGACGTTGAATTTAGTCAACATCTATGCCCTAACCTCAGGCCTGGAGTGGGTGTGTTTTTATCAGCAGGCATCCGTCTTCCTCAGCACCCTGGATCCTTGAGAGTACCTGGTCCTGGGCAGGGATTTTAATACCAGCCTTGAGGACTGGGATCGCTCAGGCCTCGAGAGCAGCCAGGCTGCCGCAGGCATCCTCAGGGAGATTGTCAACCATCACTCCCTGGTGGATGCCTGGCACGACCACCATCCAGATGACATCATCACCTTCACCTATGTCCGGGTGGAGGATGATAGGTCATGCCACTCCCAGTTGGACCATATTTATCTATCACATTTCCATCTGGCCCGGACCCGCTCCTCCAGCATTCGGCCGGTCCTGTTCTCAGATCACCGCTTGCTGACCATGACAGCCTCTCTCAGCTCAGAGAGGCCAGGGCCGGCCTATTGGCATTTTAATAACAGCTTGTTGGAGGATGTGAGCTTCGTGGCATCCTTCCGGGAGTTCCGGCTGGCCTGGCACCTTTCCTTCGGCGCGGCGGTGGTGGGATGTGGGGAAGGTGCACACCCAGCTCTTCTGCCATGACTACACCCAGGGCACCAGCCAGTGGAGGGATGCAGCGCTAGGGCAGTTGGAGTGGGAGGTCTTGGAGATGGAGAGGCGTCTGGCCACCAGCCCCGGGGATCCATCCCTCTGCAGAGCATGCCGGGAAAAGCGGGAGGAGCTCCGGGCCCTGGAGGATCATTGGGCCCCAGGCATGTTCATTCGATCCCACATTCATCTCCTTTAGATGGATCGTGGCTCACTCTTCTTCTATGCCCTGGAGAAAAAGAGAGGGGCTAAAAAGCACATCACCTGCCTTTTGGCAGAGTACGGTGCCCCCCTCACAGATCCGGAGAAGATGCATAGCAGGACCAGGGCCTTCTACCCTAGCCTCTTCTCCCCAGATCCGACCAACACCGATGCTTGCAGGGTGCTCTGGAACAAACTCCCAATGGTCAGCGCGGGCGACCGGGGCCGGCTAGAGTTGCTTCTCACGCTGGCAGAGTTCTTGGAAGCCCTCCGTCTCATGCCCACCAATAAATCTCCAGGCATAGACGGGCTGACCATGGAGTTCTGCCACATGTCCTGGGACGTCCTCGGCTCAGACCTTGTCACCATCTGGGATGAGTTCTTGGAGAGCAGGGTCCTCCTTCTGTCATGCAGGCGAATGATGTTCGCCTTGCTACCCATGAAGGATTCACTACAGTCAATCAAGAGCGCTTGGTCTTTTACATATTTCTCAGTCACCTGCCTGAGCTGCATATACTCCCTCAGGCAGTTTCCATTCTCAAAATTGGGTTGTAGGGGTTTCGCCGGCACCTGTTCACCATCCACATACAAGGCCACAAAATTAATATTGTAACATTTAAAGGGTTTTTAATGTAGCTGCCGCTGAAGGCGTCGTTATCTATAAATGCAATTACAAGCTGCTTGGGTAACTGTCCCCAGAAGAGGTTTTCCTGGTTACTGACACGACTGCCTGCCGGAATGCTAAACACCTTTATGCCCACCCTGTCTACCGGGTACTTAGCACTGGCGGCCATTAGCGCTTCAGTGTGCCCCAAGCAGACCCCCGGGGTCACTGTCACCCGTTTTACAAAGAGGGACTCTGAAATAATGTGAACTTTATCATTCTGGTTGGCATTCCCACTCATGAGGCAAAAAACAGCTTTGCTACGTGTCAGTTTAATTTTCAAGTCCACGCCGTTCAGCAACAGTTTTTCTTGAGAAAACAAATCACTGTGTAGAGGCCCCAACAAATCCAGCTTCCTGCTGCTGGCCATTAGTCTGGCCCTGTGCATAAACCCCTTTTTACCCGTGCCATCCAAAATAGTGCTTTCGTGAGCCCCCGCCGTGTCTTTATGAAACCCTCCTGCCGAAATCTGCACAGTGAGGATGTCATGGCTGTAGTTCAGAATCAGCTCTATCAAGGCTCTGTAAGGGTAACAATTGTTGCTCTGACTGATAAGACAGTCGCCTAGTGTGACATCCATCTGGTTAAAAAAGGTGGCGATGGGGTAGTTTGTTAGGGCAACCCTGGCGTCGTCGTCAATGCCTGACCCATCTTCTTTTACCTCCTTGCAGCACGTGTACGACAGCATGTTGTTACCATCTAAGTAATGATCCCCGTGTCCCAAAATAAAAAATTCTAGAGGGACATTCACCATCAAAGTGGCCAAAGGCGGCATCTCTACATAAAAGCTATTCTCGATGCTGGTTTGTGTGGGGGCTATTTGAAATAAATCCAGTTCTGATTTGGTACATTCTTCAGAGCCACAATGAATGAAAGCCATTTTAAAATATGTCCCTTTTACTGCGGGCGATGCTCCACTTCCTCTTCTTGGGGCGCCTTTTAGGTTTATGGCTGAGGCGTCTTCTGGCAGCTTTTTCTTTTAAAAGGGCCTAGGAGGCCCTTTAAATGGCAGGCGCAATCCTGCTCTTTTTCTCCTCAACATCACTAAACCGGAACCTTCCTGTGGCATGTGCGCTCCTATTTTGTTTATAACGGCGCTAGACATGGGGTTCACTACGTCTCTGGTTATATTTTTTGCGGCTGTTTTAATGTGGAGTTTAATAACTTCAAAACGTCTTCTCAAAAGCAGCATGGCTTTTCTAAAAAGACTGTGGAATATCCCTCCTAAACCGGCCCTGTACATGATGGGTAATCCTTAATAGCCCGGTAAGGCATAACCAGCCTGGGCCTTGTAGTAGTTCCTATATAAAAAGGGATCCCCGTAGTTTTTTTATAGTCACCATTCTTCAACTTTCCTGGGGCGCAAATGCAGTACCTATATGCTGCTTACTCACAGGGACGTAATACGGTTTGTTATACATGATGGTAATAAATTCGTTGTTGCTGCCGCGGATGGGAACACAGCGCAACAACGGCACTAGTAGTTCCCCACTAACTGATGTTCCACTATGTTCGTGTACACATATAAAGAGTTAAACCCTCCCATGATGTCTGTGGGGTGGGGTGCTATCTTACATGGACTATTCGGAATCATTCCCAATATTGCTGCCAATTCTACCCATGCAGAAAAAAATTAATTTTCATCGTTTGCTTCTAACTGAACCCTTCTGGTCACCGAGTTGTAAATGACGCTGACCTTCAGTTTTTCGGAATCTTTGTCGATGTTCTTGTTGAATGATGAATGCTTGAATAATAGCTGGCTTCTATGTTGTAGGACCAAATTTCTTTTTTGATGCTATCACAAACGGCGTATCGTGAAAGACTGTGTTCCACAAGTAACAATAATGAATTTCCGATGAAGCAACATCCCAATAGCCAATCAAATTTAAAGGCTTGGCCAGTTGTATTGTAAAATTGGAACTAGTATTTTGAGGAAAAGCCCCCCACAGAGGCATTGCTAGGTAACGTAACGTAAAAACCTCCTTCAGTCATTTTTTCCTCCCTTTATTAGAGGTCTTGAACTGGAAACGCTTTAACCCAACTGTTAAATTTTTCAGGCTATCCTCTCCATTTCACCAAGAAATAGTCATGCCTTCCCCAACCTTTCTTCGTTAGAATCTTTTCTACCCTGTAAATGTGATCCTGGTTAGGGTTTACTTTTTGTAGTTCTTTGGGGTAAAATGCGTACACAGGCCACTGTCCTCGCAATAAAACCCAAGACACAATAAATATTTAATCGGTAAAGGTTTGCTGATATCCCTTTTCAAAAATACCCTTCATTTTAGATACCCTTACGTGATCCCCTTTCTTAAAAATCACTCGCAGTGCCTTTATTTTAAAACTATCCTTGTAGATGGTTTTCCATATGCTCAGCGTCTTAGCGTGTGTCATGTCGATTGGGCATCCTCTGACAGTTCTGATAACTTCTGTTGTAATGGTCTATGAAGGCCTGCAGCACATTGATGTATCAAAAGGTGCTACGGGCGGTAAAATACCTCCACATCTTTGATTTTAGAAGAAATACATCTAATCTGGTGAAATGCTTCTGAGCGACCCCAAGAAACACAAGAGCGAATAAGTGGATTGGGAGAGTCTACTGCGCAGGGTGTACAGTTTTCAAAAAAGTAAATAGGTTTTACTACAACAACCTTAATAATGTTGGCCATAATGTTATCTTCACAGCTCTGCTGGACACCCTCCTTACTTTTTACAGTCTTTTTTAAAAAATTGTGCTTCATGCAAAAACAGCAGGTACATATCACAGTTATTCTTCTCAAAGGCCATCTCTCTTTTTCCTCTTCATCCTCTGAAGATGTCTGTCAAAAGCAGAGAAAAAAAGCATGTTTTAAATTATTTTTTGCAATCATTTAAAAATAAAAAAAGGCAAACAATTTACTCGTGCTATCTCAATCATACCCACATCTGATTCTGAATCATCATCATCATCCCCAGTG